CCCGCTACATCCTCCCGCTCGCCTTCGGCAAGTACTTCGCCTCCGTCTCCGCGCACGTCTCGCTCTGGAGGGTCCCGGTCTCCTACGCGCACACAGGTGAGGCCCGGCGGGGTGTCTGACTCGTGGGGGGTCCCGGTGGGATGTCCCAGCGCCGGTTGTGCCCATTGGGGGACCCGGTGCAGTGACCTGAAGCCCGGTGTGTTTGTACGGGTACCTGGTGTGGTGTCCTGGTGCTCACTGTTTGCTGGTACTGGTACCCCATGTGCTTGTACTGGTACCCAGTGTTTGCTGGTACTGGTACCCCGTGTGCTTGTACTGGTACCCAGTGTTTGCTGGTACTGGTACCCCATGTGCTTGTACTGGTACCCAGTGTTTGCTGGTACTGGTACCCCGTGTGCTTGTACTGGTACCCAGTGTTTGCTGGTACTGGTACCCCATGTGCTTGTACTGGTACCCAGTCCAAGTACTGATGTCCATTGTGTGTTCGTACTGGTGTCCAGCGTGGTGTCCTCGTCCCCAGTGCCTGTTTGTACCGGTGCCTGGTGCAGTGACCTGACACACAGCGTGTGCTGATGTGGGTACCTGGTGTGGTGTCCTGTACCTCTGTGGGTGCCTGGCTCAGTGTCCTGTGCCCCTACCTGTGCCCCACGGGTGCCCAGTGTGGTGTCCTGTGTCCCTATGTGCCCCTGTGAGTGTCTGGCATGATGTCCCATGCCCCCATGGTGCCCATCACGGTGTCCTGTGTCCCTGAGTGCCCCTGTGGGTGTCTGGCATGATGTCCCGTGCCCCTGTGGATGCCTATCACGGTGTCCTGTGCCCCTACGGGTGCCCAGTGTGGAGTGCCAGCGCACCAAGCACCAGCCTGTGTTTGTGCAAGTGCCCAGCACGGTGACAAGGAGGGATGACCCAGCGTGGGCTGAGGTTATGGCTTTGGTGGGACCAGACCTGAGCCCCTGCTTGATCCCCAGCACTCACCCTCTGCTGATGGTGGTTGATGGAGTTGACTGAAGCTTTGCGTCCCCACTGACATTTTCTTTCCGTCCCCAGTAAAAGCGACGATGCCGATATGGGTGGTCCTTCTGTCGCGGATCATAATGAAGGAAAAGCAGACGACGAAGGTGCGGACAGGTTTGCTGAGGTTTCTTCTCTTGGCGGTGTTCGTGGTGTGCTCTGCAGGCTGGCATCAGGGAAGCTCAGGCTTTGGTTAACAAGTTCCTTTTCCTTTTATTGCGAATATAAAGAAAATGCCTCAAAACATCGAGTAAGGTGATGCTCTCTGGTGTACACTGGAGTTGCTATAATGTCTATTGTAGTCACTTAATTTTTTCAGCTTACAGTGATATAAAAGTTGATCCCTGGTTCTGTTGCTTTATTCTTCCCTCTCCTTTCCTCCCCAAGTCAATGATATGTATAAACTTAGTTGAAGTGAAAATTCTTAGAAGATGTAAGCTACTCCTCTCTATTCCTCTTTCAGGTGTACTTGTCGCTGATCCCCATAATAACTGGTGTCCTGTTGGCCACTGTCACAGAACTTTCCTTTGACATGTGGGGACTCATCAGTGCACTCGCTGCTACTCTGTGTTTTTCACTTCAGAACATCTTCTCAAAGAAGGTAATAGTTTTGCTGTTCATAACGTGGTCAGTAGCATCATCCTTTAGCAGGATAGTGTGTATTTTCCAGTACAAATATATATTTAATACTTTTAAAGTTTACTTTATAGTTGAAGCAGCCCAAAGTAATGGTTGGCTATTTTGTAGGCCTCTTCTCTACAGCTCTTCCTACCTGTTGAAGTCGTTACACTGAAAATTAGGCAGAACTCAGAGTTTATCCCGAGTCTTTTCTTTCCTCCTCAGCATGGATTTTTTTTTCTGCTGACAGTTCAGTAGTGCTTATATTTAGCAGTTCAAAGCTCTTTAATATATCTTGCTGTATCAAGTCTTTTCTTTGTAGTGAGTGAGTCAGTGTCAACACTTGACATCTCGGAAACAAAATTAAAGTGTATTTCTTGAATCTGTTTAGTTACAAAATGATTTCAGGTTTGTAGAGCACTTGAAATGTATTATTATCTTGTTAATACTAAGAGTCACCACTTAAGAGACCATTGTTTTCAAAAGGACATCAGTTTTCCTTTGGTTATCCTTCCAGGAAATTCCTACTATAACAGTATTTACTTATTTGCATAATTTGCCTGTCGTCTAAAGCTGTTGCTGCTCCTGAATCTCCGCTGATAACGTGGGCAAATGTTTTTTGTCAGGTGTTAAGAGATTCTCGAATACATCATCTGCGGTTGCTGAACATACTGGGGTGCCATGCTGTGTTCTTCATGATCCCAACGTGGGTTTTGGTAGATCTTTCTTCCTTCTTAGTAGAAAATGATTTGGTAAGTCTTGTATTTGGGAAACTGTTTGCTATTAAGAAAGGAAAGAGAAAAAAAATCAAACAACAGGCACATACCACCACCTATACCAAAAAAAAAGTGCACTTAAGTGTTTCGGTGTAGTTCCTCATCAGTGTGGAAGAAACTGTTGTGAAACACCCACAAGGTGTTTCGCAAAGCAATGTAAAAAAATAAGCATAGTGTTTATTGGGAGAATTTCTGTCAGGGTTAGGGGAGGCAGCTTATGTGCCAGTGTAAATCTTGGGAATTAGTAATTGGAGACAGGAACAAATGCACCAGAATTTGTGTTACAAGTACGTAGAGAGATATTTTCCCAGAGTTGCATAACGCAACACGCTTGCATGCCTCTTTAGAGTTAAGCTGCAGAAGTTCTTCCTATCAAAGGCAGGTAAGAAATGACTCAAGTTGTGTTTGTGTTTCTCTCTGAAACCTGAGATCATTTTTTTTTTTCCTTGTAATGTTTGTCTTTACGACAGAGCACGATGTCTCATTGGTCCTGGACCTTGATGCTGCTTATCATCAGTGGATTCTGTAATTTTGCCCAGAACGTCATTGCCTTCAGTATTCTTAACCTGATCAGCCCGCTGAGCTACTCTGTCGCAAATGCCACAAAAAGAATCATGGTCATCACAGTGTCCCTTATCATGCTGCGCAATCCGGTTACGAGCACCAATGTCCTTGGAATGATGACGGCTATCTTAGGGGTCTTCTTGTATAACAAGGTGAGGGGTTTATTTGTTTATTTATTCGGGAAACTCACTTGAAACAGCCCAGTAGCTTTGAATTATTTTTTTGTACAACAAGTTAACAGCTAGCAGAACAAAAATTTAGAATGTGTGGCATAAAACTTCCTTGCAGAGGAGGTTTGTGTATCACCCGAGTGAACTACTTGGGTGCTTGGGTCAGACCACCTGTTAGATCTCTAACAAACTGAAATTTTGGTCTTAATTATTTTCTTGAAAAATGGAGATTGGGGGATAACTCACTCAAATCTCTTGAGCAAAAAAGCAGCTTACTGATTTGGCACATGAGAGGAATGAGGTTTTTATTAGAAGCCACTAATATTTTAAGGCTCTAACAGGTATTGCTGGTAGTGTAATTGTAAAGCTGTGTGCTCTTTTCTATGTATATGAAACTGTTGGGTGATATCTAAGAAAAACATTCTTTTTTTTCTTTCCTAGACAAAATATGATGCCAACCAAGAAGCAAAGAAGCAGCTACTTCCAGTTACAACTGGAGACCTTGTGAATTTGGACCGGCATCGAAACACTCCTGAAAAGTCTCAGAATGGACTGACAGCATTTGCACAACATGCGGACTATCAGTACGGTCGAACCAATATCTTAACAGACCACTTCCAGTATAATCGGCAAAACTATCCAACTACCTACAACTTAAATCGTTTTGATATATAGAATCCTGGCAAACAGGTATAGACTGTGATATCAAAGTGTCCCCAACATTATCAGAAACTTTAATACATCCGTGAATGTAAAGCCATTTTACTGTTACAGGTTTTGCAGAAGGGAAGATGCATGTGTAGTGAGAGCGGTACAGACCTTCAGCTTCTGCTGAGCAGAGCGTTAAACGCGAAACAGATCTGACACCGGAACCTAACGCGGAGTGTAGCTCTGGTACAGAGATGCTGGTGAAATGCACGTACAAAACTTCAGAGTAAAATAATACCTGTTGTCACTGCTCCTTTTCAGAGTCTGTCAACTGATTATTTGTTTGGCAGCTAAATTCTGGCCAGTATTTTGTTTCCACGCTGGTAACGTCACCTTTAACTTGTTTTCTAATATGTTTTAATGATACTTTCTTTTAATGGACCTTTCAGAAAGAAGTGAAACTAAGGCGTACCTTGGGGTTCTCAGAATTTGTCTGTTTGAGGATTGACTTATGTTTATCAGTTGCAGATAGGTTAACTTGGGGTTCTCAGAATTTGTCTGTTTGAGGAGGACTGACTTATGTTTATCAGTTGCAGATAGGTTAGACCAGAATTCATCTCCAGCAACTTCAAAGCTTCATGTGGATATTAATTACTTTTGTGCCTGTGCCTTCTGGTTTTGATGACAAACCATAAGTGTTTCTGAAAGAGCAGACAGTAGAAAGGTTGGTCTCTTCAAGAAGCGTACGTCAGGCGTAGAGAAACGTAATTCTCTAAAATCACTGTTCTCTCAGTCGCTGTAGATAACAAACAAACAGAGCTTGAGATCTTAATTGTTTTCTGATTGATGTAGCCCTGTAACTTCAGACATTGCTCTTCCTTGGCAATACAGAAAACACCTTCACAAATAAAGTGTTTGGAATAATTTTTTTTTTTTTTTACTTGTTTCACACCAGTTCTTACAAAACTCTTTTGTTGCTTTAGAAATTGAAAGGTTTAAGGTGTTTTCTTCTCAGTTTTATGCATTAAATTATGCTCTCTTATATGATTCATATATTATGAATGCATTCATTTGAATAATCATTATTCTTAATTGTTTCTCAAGTCTATCTTTTTAGCCCCTAATTGGTTTTGTTTAAGTTTCTTAATTACTGCTGTTGGAGTTGCTGTGTGCATTTAGCCTGACTTCCACTTTCTGCTGAAAGAAGTTAAATTTTGTATCCTGCTCTGTTCCTGCAACTCCCCCAGCTCCAATAGTAAATTGCTAAGAAAAAATTATTTGAATCAGCAGTAAATAGATAATTTATGGTTAAGAACTGATTCACTTCGTAGAAATGAACGTATTTAATTCTAGACAAGTCAGTTTTTGTGCGTCAGATACTGAATTTGTGCATGAAAGGAATGAAACCAGCTGAACCTGGGTTTCACTGACTCAGATTGTTACTGTCATTACTGTAGCAAAAGAAGATTTTAGGGACTTTCTCTCCTTAACAGAAAAGCTGTTGTACAGTGAGATTTTTGAGAGCAGAAGTATTATGTTTTTACTAGAGAGGTATCAGATACCAGTGACGAAATTTCAGGTGTGGTACAGGACACTCCCTGCGCTTATTTATTGCTTTAAAAATGACCGTTTCCGTGATGGGAGATGATGGTTTTGCTCCTTTCTGGATAATAAAGAATCTATTTTTAAGTGCAAGGTCAAACTTGATGTTATTCTTTTGGCTATTGTGGAGGTGGTTGTGTGGAATGCCTTCCACTGTACAGTCCAAAAGAGGAAATGGTCCTTCTGAAACTTCAGAGATGGGTTAAAGATGCTGCTAATGTTTGTGAGCAGAACTTCCTTGACTTGACTGGAGTTGAATCTGTTCGTGCTAGATTAGAACTTGGGCTTTTAGTCTAGAAAATCTAAATAAATTATTCCCTAAACCTGGTTAACCAAAACAAGGTAATGAGGAAAAAGCATTCTTTTAGATGAAATTGCTTTTGCCTGTTCCAATATGAATTGGTGTATAATTATTTCTTTTTAATATGGGAAAGTGCAAAATGTGTATTTCTGAGGTTCACTTCCCAATATTTAAGTGCTTTTACATACGCGTAAGAAGGATTGTGTGGACTCTGGGTTTGGATTAGGTTCTGACTCTGCAAAACGCTGATTTGAGGATGAGATGTTTAGGCTGAGATTTTTAAGAGGGGCTGAAGTCCTCCAGCTGCTTTTAAAGGGAGCAAGCTGTAAACCGTTAGACCCTGCAAATTCTTAATTGTGTTCTTTGTGCCTCAGTGTCCCATTTGCAAAATTGAGATGATTCTTCCCTACTTCATAGTGGGGTGAAATACCAGAAGAAAGTAGCAGTGGGGGCCCCAGGGATGTACAGACACACACTGTGAGTTCTTCTGTGCATCTTCTGGGATGTCTGCTGCTGTACCATCTTCATACAACTTGAACTTTTACTTGGAATAAAGCTCTGCATACTTGATTCACAGATCAGAGGCTTTATTAAATAGATTTAGACAGTTTCTTTTAAAAGAATATAACCAGATCTTTCTTGCAGCTTTTTTCAGAGAAGGCTTGCACTGCACACTTACTGTGGCAGGGCTTTAGCTCAGCTTTTTCTGTCAAGACTACAGTAGCAGGTGAGGGCTTTTTGTTTAAAATACCTCGTCCCAAATTCCAGTCTGGGCTTGTGGCCTCACTGTGTCTCTGAAACAGAACTACTGTGCTTGCAGAGCAAAAAGGGGCTGACCCAAAACGAGGATATAATCTGTTTAGGGCTTGGAGAGTGAATCTCCTCCCTGGAGACTGCCTGACAGTGTTCACACTCTTCTAGTTCAGGTCTGTGGTCAACAGGGTTAATTTTGTACGGTAGAACATTTAATTAAAATTGTTAAGTGAATCGGTTACAAGAGGTGGTTCTGCTGAGTACCTGAATCTGAGTCCTTAAGCAATATTGCTCACGTTCAGGTAGAGGAAGTTTCTGATGCTGTTGTAATATATATTTTAATCTTGGGCCGCTGCGAGATTTTGTTTGGCGAAAGGTGAAACATTTGTTTTAACATGGTTTGTAAATTAATGACGTATTTAACTGTGTACATAGGTCTGTAGAAAGTATGGAAACACTGGAATAAAAAGGGCATATCTAGACAATCGTGTATAATGACCCTGTTATTAAATCAAAGTGAAGGGGGTTGGTTTGGGGTTTTTTTTACTTGCAGGGAGCTTTGGGAGTGCCATGTGTTAGTAGCAATGGCCACTGGTGAGAAATAGGATTAATGTTTTGCTGTGTGGGTGTGATACCTTACCGGATGCTTACGCAGACTGAAACTACGATGATGTGGATGCCATAACTAGTGTTAGGACACTAGTCCTTAGAAATGTTTTGATTTCCATGATGCATTTCTAACATACCTGTAAATATGTCACAAAATGGGGAAATTCTTCCCCAAACAATCCTGGATAGTTCTAGAAATACCAGTGTGAAAGAAACCAGTCTCTCCCCGCTACCTGTGGGTTTTCTGTTGATAGCTCCATAGAGTATTTGGTGCTCTTTGAAGATCTCTTGGAAATATTTCCCTTGCAGATTCAATTTTAATACCCAGTAGTGATTAGAACATCTTTATCATCTGGTAAAATGCTTATGTTTTTTAATTACCTGACTGGTAAATAAAATTGAGGCAATACTTAGGCTTTGTAGGTGTACAGTGATTTGTAAAAACAGTGTTGGTAATTTGGGGTCAACTCATGATGATTCCTGAAGCTCAAGACCTTTTCTTTCTCATGTGTATTCAAACTTGCATTTTTCTGATGTAGCATTTTGCAGCAGAAGAAACTTCTGCCATGTACCTATTTGTGAAAAAGGTGCAATATAAATAAAGGGAAAGTTTTGGTTTTTCTAAGGCTTCTGTTTCTGAACCATGTTGTAAGCTGTTAAAAATAATTCTGAAATATCTTTGTGGTGATGCTACAGGCTGGTAAAACAAAATTGTTAATGCTGAGATCACAGGGGTGATCTGTGATACAATCACATTATGTAGATGTGCAAGTGCAAATATGCAGGTGGCAGCCACCGCTCATCTTTTTGTTGGGTTTTTTTTACGTTGGTACTTTATAAATTGATGTGAATATGTGTGGTTTTACCAAAAAAAAAACCCCCAAAAAACCTGCACTCCTTACTGTATGAAATGTGGCACTGAAGCAAATGAACACTTCTGTATTGTTTTCCTGTTCTTACTTCACCTTGGTCGTTGTGTGAAGTTCTGGATGTTACTCGGCCGGATTGCCTGCGACGCGCCCCTCCAGCCTGTCGATGCTGCTGCTGAAGCTCAGATCCCTGACAGGATGACGGGATGAAACCACATTGGTGACTTCCAGGTACTGGGACTCTTTCCTGCCTAAAATAAATCAGGTGTTGAGATGGCTTTTGGTGGTCAACTCTGTTGGGGAACTGTAGCTTTTGGGGCACTTTGTGGAGAAACCGTTGCTGGGTGCTGAGGAACACGGCAGCTGGACAGTGACTGTGTGGCCTCTAACGTGCAAAGTGGGAACGGCAGCAGCCAGGAATTTTGAAAAGTTTCTTATTTTTTAAGTATGAGCTAAGATTTGAACTTCACCTGGTCTTCTGGGATCTGTGTTATAATTTCCAGGACTGCAGGGTGATGTAGAATCATGATGAGAGTCTGTATTTGATTTGTTTGGTTTTCATTTGTTATTTGGATACATGGAACCATCCCATCTTTCTGAGGGTTTATATTCTGTAGATAATGCGGTGGGGTCTTCACGGTATGTCTCGTTCAGAATAAAGAGTTCTGCCTTTTTTGTGAGGATGTCTGTGTTACCTGTGTGACTGGAAATCCTGTAAAGTGTAATGAAACTTAAGATAGTGATTACAGCTCCAGGTGAGCATTAGGATGCTTAGGTTTGCTTTTGGCCTCACATGATTCCCAGATGATCACTTCCACTTGTAGATTCAGTTTTCTTAAAATATTAAAGGACACCAAAATTATTTTGGGCCCCAATTTGGGTTTTGATGTCTAGTTCTCATAGAAATGGTCTTCCAAGTGTGGCGGGTTGAGCAGTTTCTGCCTCATACCCCTTGACTTGGGGTGTGAAGCTGATCCGATCAGCACTTTGCTTTTGAAGGAGTGTTTTGCTGAATCCAGCAAGTATGTGGTGTAATTTTAATCCAGAAACTATTTGAACATTTTAGTTTTAACTGCATGATGAAATGAATTCACTTAAGGAAAGCAAGAGTGGTTAAGTAATGTCCATGCACAGCATTTGTGCTTATTCTTAACAGTTGTATTTTAGGGTCAGTTCGCTCTGCAGTGAGTGTCCTACACGTCCGTGTTCCTTTGTACACCATGCCCGTGGTCTCTGTAGCTCAAGCGCTGCCGCAATGGATTGTTCCCCAAGATGAAAGAGAAG